ATAAATTGCTATGGTTTGTAATAACTCAATTTTTGCTTCACCTTCCTAATAATAATAATAATGTCAATATATAAAAATGCTGTTCAGATCAAATACTAATAGCAATGACGATAGTAATACTAATAAAATAAAGATCAAATTGCATCTCAACCAATGGATATAAAAGTAGTGAAAACAGTAAAATGAACAAATACTCAAAGGCTATCATGTAACATGTTAGTCTGTTTTTATTGAAACCTGGGAATGAGCAAAACTTCAGGTCAGAAGATTTTTTCAGCTCTTTTTTTCTCTTCCATTTCGAGTTTTCTTTTTCTCTCAAACTTTCAAATGCTTCAATATTTAAGATGAATAATAGCAATAATCTTGCAATAATACCAACAATAATAGTAATAATAGGAGAAGGAAAGATTGTCAGATTCTTGGAAATAACAAGTTTCAGAATTGCTTCAACTTTGCTGATATTTTTCATTCCTTACCTTTTCCTTCATCTTCATTTGAGTGAATAGTTTCTCTCAACCTTCTGAAAGCCTTTGAAATGCTCTGAAAACTGTACTGAGAACTAACTTAATAATAAAGTGAACATGAAACAGATAACAAATTGAGAAGAGTTGGGATAAAAAAACAAGAATCATGATTATGATACTGATGAGGAATGATGAAAAGTTGGAATTTTTCTTTTTCTCCTTTTTTCCTTCTTTGGCTCACAATTGAAATGAAAAGAAACAAAAATCTATTGAGACTTGAAATGCCTGGGAGGTAACAGGGAATTGAATGAAATTTCTCAGTTCAGATGCACCATAATTATTGGCCAATATGGTTTCAGTTTAATGCTTTTTAAACTATTGAATGAAAGTTAGTTAAAGGCAGTTTAATTCAATTCTCAGAGAAGATAATTGTTTCTTGAACCAAAATCAATTGAAAAATGATTGATTGAAACGTTCAGAACTTTTTCCTCAATCGATAACAATTTCTGTGAAAATGTTTTCTCGCCAAGATTTTACAGGTTGAATAGGTGAAATGAATTTGCTGGTTTGATTGTTATTTGCAAAGTAATACAAATGTCTAAACATGAATGTCAACAAGTCAAATGTTGATAAAAAGTCTACAACATTATTAGTTTATACCAGTTTACATCAGGTTTGGAAGGTAAATAAAATTGTTGAGCAAGTTGATTATAAACAATGAAAGGTTTCATGATTGAAAGTGTAAATTGGTGAAAGTTGATGGGTTCAGATTAATGTGTGTTTAATAGGAAATGGATTGAGGATGAAAAAGGCAGGGTAAGTTGACTGGAAATTTCATGTCAACTTCATAATTGTCAATTTTGAAGCAACAGAAAACTGGAAAACAAAGGCATTTGCCATCAAGTTCAAGTTTACACGGAAAAATAAAGTTGATTATAATTTAAATAAAGGTGCAAAATTGTTGAAAGTAAATTAAATTGTTGCCGTTGAACCAATTTTTTTATATCTATATTGTTGAGGTAATTTAAATTTAAATTGGCCTTTACATTGATAAGATACAAATGATTGTAATTGAAAATTCAACTAAACTTGTTAGATGAGATTGCATTATTTATACTTTTCATTTTGCCTTTTGTTTTAAGGGTGAATGTTTTCCGTGGTTAGTTTACAACATTTGCATAACAATTAACTTGTTGTGGTAATTTGCAATTTCAATCAAACAAAATTGTAACTGAATAATTGTGCAATTATAAAGTGAACATGATTCAAATTTCAAAATGGATCGATGCTGAGTCGAGTGGCGAGATGATGGATAAGCAAACATAATTAAAGATTTGAAATAGCAGATAAAGAGTTCAAAATAAGTCAAGTATTGGAAAAACTGTCTGAATCGTATTTTAGTCTGAATCTGTCCATGTTCCAGGTCCATGAAACTTTCAAGAGATACACAATAAGCAATCCTGATTTCCTTGCTTGAAACTTGCAGGGTCAAAATTATTTTCCAAGTAATCTGAAATAGTAAATTATTCAATTTGACATTCTCCTTAGAAGCGCAATCGACTTGAATCTTATCAACTTTGAAAGCTTGAACGATTAACATTTGATGTTGAGAACTAAATAATTTTATCAATTTTAACTGAAAATCAATCCCAGTGAAACTCGCTGTTAAACATTTTGATGCAGAATTGAAAACTACACACCTGGTCATGCTACTTGAAGATAATCAGGGGTCAAAAACTATTGACCAATGTACAAGCCTGGATTTAGTTTATTTAGATTTGGAAGCAATTCAGTGGCTGTTTGAATCACAAATTATTTACAAATTTTCATGGATGAAAAGCGTCCAGTAAAATAGACATTTTTAGAGATCGATATTGAAAGGTGTGTTTGAAGATGGGAAGAGGAAGAGGAAAAATAGATGAAAAATTGAAAAACAAGGAATGAAGGTAAATATTGAAAGTGAAAAAACGAAGGCAATTGAAAAGATTGTGAATGAAATAAAAAGTATAAAAGTGGAGCAAGAAAAAAAGAGAGGAATAAATAAAGGAAAAATCAATTTAGATGGATTCCTGATGAACCATGTTGATTCAAATGTTGCTGAGTTGAGCAGGAAAATGGTAAATGTTGAAATGAATAGAGGCAAAAGAAGAAGAAGAAATGATTGGAAAGAGCAATTGAGTGCAAAAACTGTTTGCAGATGAAAATGTAGAAACAATCTTGAGAAAATTTTAAGGTAAAATCAGATATATCAAGACTAACGATTGTACATTAATAATACAAAAAAAACAAATTCAATCCATCATCGTTATTAGTGAAGTTTAAAAGTTATACAATTTATAAAACAAGTGCAAATCAATATTAAACATGTAATCAGTTAATGTAAAGATACATATATTCACTGATTACAAATAAATAGATATTTATAACACAGAATCAAGTCCAATATTAACAATTGAAACTGAAAACATGAAAAAATACTTTTTCTGTTTATTTTGCTTTTGCTGTTCATTCAATTGGTATACTTACTGAATTACTGTGAGCAACAGTAGTTTATAACAACTTTTCAATGTAAGAAACTGTCTGTTAAAGTAAACAAAAACTAACTGTTATTAAGGTTGATTCGTTGGCAGGGTAAAACAAATCAATTGTAATGATCAATTCAATGTTACAATCAACTGAGAACAGCAAGAGTAACAAATAACAGATAGCAATACATAACAAATGAGCAACTTGGAGTAGAGCAAGGATAACAATTATAATGACAATTGAATGTTAATTTTGTGAGTTGACTTTAATTAAAGGTAAAGTTGACACAGTCAGACATTAATCCTCAAAGGAATCACAATTGGAAATGCATTTACAGAGGAAAAGATTGACTAAGAAAATGGTTAAATCTGTTAATCTTGACTGAACAAAATGAATAATTTAATTCCAGATTTTACCTGTCAGAGTGATCAGAAAAATGGCAACAAAAAGAGAGCTAAAATAATCAAAATTATATTCAATGTTGCATTGAATATTAGATTTAATATTGAATTGAATCTCAAGTGAAAAAAAGGTTTTCCTTTTATCAACTGATGAAAAATATCTTCAACATGATGAATGAAAAGATTGACTTTGAAAAACATTTCCATGAATATGTAAAGAAAATATTTAATCAAATCAAAGGCAATTTAGTGCAATAAAAATATTGTTATTTACCAGGGAAAAAGAGAATCAAAATTTGTATCAATGTGAATTGAACAAAAGGGTTGAAAATGAGTTGATTAATTTCCAGTTGTTTTGTGATTCAATTCATTGCATTTCAACCTGACAAAGATGAAACCTTTTTTTCTCGTTCATCCATTCATTGTATTCAATGTGATCAAGATGAAAAGAGATGGAAAGAGATGAAAATTATTGTTAACACTTGATAACAATAGTCGAGGAAATTGTCCTTATTTAATTATATCATAGTTTGATGAGTAAATTCATCATCTAAATGTATTATTAAATTCAAGATGAGAATTGGAAATGAAAGCCATTTGCATGGAAATTAATTGAGAAACAAGGTTAATTAGGTTGCAATGGTAATCAAAAGAAATTTTGTTGAAACCAGAATTTTACTGATTGATAATCAAAGGAAATGATAATAAGTTTACTGGGAGTGAAGGTTTCACTTTTTGGGTTTTGCCAACAATTGAGATTTTACCTGCAATTCCCAACATTAGTTATTAATTGGTAATTTTCAATTGTTAAATTGTTACAATTGAAATGATAAAATGTTCACTTTTCTGGTTGTTATACAAAAAATCAATGTTTAACCCTTAATGCAACTTTAGATAGCAACAATATTGATTCACCAATTTATTTTACCAGGCATTCCTGACTAAACATGAGGAAATAAAAGATAATCAAAGATACAGAAATATAATAATCAATCAATAGATTAAATCGATTACCATGACAATTGGCAAAAAAATTGCCATTGCGTTTCACCAGTTTCTTGACTCTTTTTTTTCTACCTCAAATCAATTTATTCAAGATTGAATTATAGCTTCTGAAAATCATTTCAAGTTTCATTTTGAAAGTTTTTTTTGGTTGCTGAAAAAATGTTTCTAGTAAATATTAAGTTTCTATATTTTATTGTTACTTTTAACCGATTTTGATGATTCAAATGTGAAAATTTTCGATTATTCAACAATTTATCGAGAATTGAAATCGAACTGAACATTTACTTGTTCAAAACAAACGTTAAATTATTTCGTGTTGATCAGTTGAAAATGGTTGACATTATTAATGAGATGGAATCAAATGATTAAATCATGATTAAATAGATTCATTAGGATTACTTCATTCACTATTCGTATTGCTCATTAAAATTTCAGGATTGGTGGATATTGGTAAAGTTTTGATTTCAATGAATTTTCAGGAAATTTCATCGATTTCTGAATAAATTTATTTTATTGTTCAAAAATGCTATTCAGTTGTCAGCCGAGTTTTGACTTTCAATAGTCAAAGACATTTTGTGTGAAAAATAAAAATCAAGTGACTTACCCTACTACAGCAGCGTATTGAGCTACTGCTGGATTTGCATGGGCGGCGGCAGCGGCTGCAGCATAAGTCCGTGCTGCTGCAGCAGTGTAAGCAGCACTAGCAGCATAAGATGCCTGTTGGAGAGACAAAAGTGACGTAAAGTAAAAAATAAAATTCACTCCAAACACAAAGTCACCAACTGGGAGTGATGAAGGGAATGCATACTCACCGGGAATTGATAACGTTCAGCTCCAGCAACCGTGGCATAAGTTAGGTAAGGATCTTGATAAACTCCTCCGCGTAAATTTGTAGGTAAACTGGAAGTGACACACACATATATATACATATTTTGCAAGTGGTTTGTGTTTTGTTTTTTGTTTCATGATGGAAACAAAAGAAATGATGGATAAAGATGATGATGACGGGTCACAATTATGATGAGGATAAGAAGAGTATTGATGATAATCATGTGTTTTTGGTAATTGAACAAAATAAAAAGCACCATCAACAGCAAAAAACAAATAAACACAAACATAGTTAATGGATAAATGAAAAATGGATGAAAAAAAAGTCACAAAAAAAACAAAAAGTTTATATTAATAAAGTGATTTAATTTTAACGGGTAAATAAAATAACTTCTTGTTTCGCGGTAAAACAAAACAAAACAAGTTTTTTAATATTTATATTTATGTATGTATATATATATGAATGATGAAACTTACGGGGTGGTGGCATAACCATGCAGGGTGGCAGCAGTAGCTGTTAATGGAGTAGGATGTCGAGCAAATGCTGCCGTTGCGGCTGCCCTCGCAGCCGCTCTCGTAGAAGCCCGGGATATCGTGACACCTCTCAAGGCTCCCACTACAAGCAGTGCAATTTTGATATTCATTTTGGATTCATTTTGACATTTTTTGAGTTTCATGAATTTTATCAAGTTAAGTGACAAACCACAAAATTGAGGTGGGAAAGAAGAGGCAAGAGAAGAAAGAGAAAGAGAAAGAGAAGTGTGAAAACAATGGAAGTGCTCATTCAATACAAAAAAAATAAATACGATTTTTGATAAAAAAACGTAAAAAAAGTAAGAAAATAAAGAAATGTTTAAGAAATTCATATTTTTTCGTTGATTAACCCAATCGAAGAGAACCAATTTTTTTCAAACCCTGTGATTGGTGCTTTATCATCAATGGAAATGCTGTTTACCATGATGAACTTTCCAGTTTTCAATGCTTCAATCGGAAATGTGATCAACAAAAAAAACACTAAACTTGGCTTCGAACCAATTGGTCAATGGAATGCAAAACAAGATCTAAACTTTATGAAAATTTCAAAACGCTTTAAGTGACACGAAATCAACTAATCATTGTTTTTGTCGTCCTCTTTTAATCATCTTTATCCTCGTCTTTTAATCTGATTAAGATTTTCCTGTCAAACAATCATCTTCATCCTCTTACATGAATTATAAATAAGTCAATAAATAGCTTGACATCAAAAGCTATAACCAAATATAAGGTCGATTTTGAAAGAGATTGAAATGATAGACTAAAAGTTGGTCAAGATATTAATCGGAGTTTAAGTGTTGTAACTTAACCATTCTAATTCTGGTTAAATATTACGATATTAGTTTCCTATTAACTAGGAAGTAAAAAAAACTCATCTTATTCAATACAATCCTTTGCCTACCTTTTAAGGCCTTACAAAGAGCAACACAAAAAGGTTAAGGTTAAGGGTAAAAGATTATTAAGCAAAAAATGTAACCTTCGCATTGACAACAAAAGATTAAAGGTAAACTAGACCTTAAATGTACAGGTAACAACCTTAAACACTTTAACCTCCTCCTTTCCCTTTTATTTATCCTCCTAACCTCCTCCTTTTCTCGTCCCTTCATCATCATCATCTTCTCCGTCTTCTCCTTCATATCAGAAATTTTCTCACAACTTCGTGAAATGGTAAAAAAACCACCCTTTGATCACTTTTTTTTTCATTCATCTTATTTCCAAACATCTTATATATTTTTTTTGCATCTTCCTCATCATATCTTTAGACCGAATTACCTGAAAAAATAAACTTTCCTACGGAACCAAAGAAACTTGGCTTTGGTTATCTTTTTTTGTGGCTCTTTTTTGATACTAAAACTGAACCCAAATAGTGACATATGGACAGTAAAATGAAAGTGTCTCAAGACGAAGCTTGTTCGTTCCCTAAACAACTATGAATTCATCTTTACGTATCTATCGCGAAGATGATGTCGCTTCTGATGTGGATGCATAAAAAAACACTTTCTCAGGCTTATGATGTTGATACATCATTGGTCTATTTTTTGTATCAATATACTTATATTAGATTATATAATGTTTAGATATACCAAATTGTTGATCTTCATTGTAAATAATATCAATCGAAGTATGAAATTGAAAGTAAAACTCGAAAAAACGGTCAAAGTCGCGCTTTTTTCTTCTTGCTCCTTCTTTTTTTCGCTATTTTTATCATATAATTTCCGTTTCATGTTCAATGGATTTAGAGTTAAAAGGGTTTGATTGTTAATGGGAAAAAGAATGCATTTGATGTGGAAGAAGGTTTGATGATGATGAATAAGATGAGGATGAACAGGATGATGATGGCGTTGATCAAGATTGAAGATGGGAGGGGAGACAGAAAAAAACTGTTTGATTTGTTTTACTCTCTGATAATATATTGTCTTACTGACAATTCATTGTAAATATTATTTCAGGGGATAAAATGGTGAGGAAAAGATTATGGTTGGGCTTGAAAGGAAAAAGGATTTGAAATGAAAAAGCAAAATGTGATTTGGTAAATATCAAGGCGAAATAATTGGCTCATTGCTGAAAGGTGACATAAGGTTAGTTGAATTTCCGTGGCAAAATAAAAGCTCATGATGAGAGGAAAAGTCTTATTCTGGGAAAAGAGCCAAACTGAGTTAAACTGAGTAAATACATTTCATCATGAAGCCATTATTTTTTGCCTATCAAAGTCAAAACGTTAATCAATTTAAGATGTTAATATTGGTTAAGGTGAAGGTGAATAATAAAAATATCAACTGTTTCTCAATTGTTTCAGTTGAATGAAAAAAGAGTGGACATAAGATGATAATTTAATGGAACCACTTATTTTGACGATTGAAATTGAATAAGTTGAATTGCTGATTAATAATTGAATTGATAGATTAATCTTATGGAACGGAAAGAGGAAAACCATGGAGGGAAGGGGAGAGAAGGAGGAGTGAAGGAAAAGCCAAAAAAAGGTTCAGATAATGAGAGTGGAAATGGTTTTGATGTTCAAGTTGAAAAGGCAGGCAAAATGAGACAATATATTATCAGGTCAAAGGAAACAAAATATGAGGCAAAAAAACAACTCAAGCAGTTTCTTGGTTAATGTAGACTGAGATCGATGATAATGTTGAGAGAGTGAAGATAGGAAGTAAAGATGATGAAGATGAAAGATGAAAACAAGAGACACAAATGAGAGTAACCATTGGCAAGCTAATTAACCTTTCCTTATAACTTTGTCATAATGAAAGTACATTTACTGTACATCCATTAACATACAAAATAATAATTCATTGTGATTCATTGACAGGATAACTTTCCCATTTATAGGTGCCAGGACAGGGAAGGTGATAATTTCATGTGATACAATGAATCTGATAATCAATTACAATTCATCATTGGATTGTTGTAACTCAAGAAAAAAATGAGACTCTGGAAGCATTTATAAATTTCCATTCATTACATTCAGCTATTCAATCTTCATTTGATCATTTTGCCATGTTAACGTTAATCTAGCTTTCTGGTTATATTGACAGTGTTCAATGTAAACATTATTAGGATAAACATTTTCATCAGACGTGAATGATGAAAATATGATCAAGATAATGATTGCAGATGAGAAGGATGATGATGATAAAAGCCAAATTATATGAGATGCTGTTTTTTCCTCATCTTTTTCATCTAAACATGATTATTTAAGATATTAACTGAACACAGTAGGAAAACTTGGATAATGATGCTTTTCATGGCTAATTTAAGAAGCACAAAATGCAGACAGAGAAACATGTAAAAATATTGAATCAATAAACTAACTTTATTAAATACTGGATTCAGTAACAGTTTAACGAAATTGTTCATTTTTCTTGCTTTCCTCAAAATTACCGATCAAAACTGTTTGGGTTAAAACTTGGATTTGGGTTAATATTTGAATAAAATGCTTATTATCATCAGCTTTATAAACTCATCAAATCATCTTATGGATAAGAAAGGGTCTAATTTTTTGTTTCGTTACTGTAATAATGTTAATAATTTAACTTGATGATCCCTTAACTTGGAGTCAGACAGTTGGAGTAAACTTTCGAGTCTCTTGAACAAAGAAACGAAACATTAACCCTCGCAATGATCTCAATCTAATGGCTGGTAAAGCCTTAAAAAGCTGCTTCAATCATGATAATGGTCAACAGACAAGTTTCAAATCAACTCCAAAGGGAATCTTTTTGAGGTTTTCCAGAAATTAATGGATCACAATTAAAGCTACACTGTAAAACAAGATAGTTAAGGTACAAAATTGATCCATCAATAATATAAACCAATTTCCTATGAAACTGTTAACAAACATTGTAAATGATTAAAGTTCAATAGCTGTGAATGATTCTCAATGATTCCGAAACATCTTTTGTGATTTTTGTGAAACATTTCATCTTCATCAGACTGACAAAAGTCTTGATTATTTCATTTTCAAATTGTTGTTGAATCTACTTTCGTTATTGAAGTCAAGACAACTCACTAGTCTAGCATGATCTTTCATGAAACATTGGCTGATAATTATGGTAATAATGATGAAAGAATCAAAAGAATGATTTAAGAACATGTAAATTAGTTGAAGTTAATAAAATGAATTGAGTTGTAATGAGAACAACAAAAATGTAAGAAATTAAGTTACAAGGCAGTGAAGCTTATTAATGGTAGTTAATGTCTTCAAGGTGTTTACCTATTTTGGCTTGTAACATGTTAATAGATAGCGAAATTGACTGTTGATTAACAAATTGTTTTGCAGTTACACTGATTAGGATTGAGCTTTTTGTTTGATTCAATCATTTAAATTATTCTGTTTTTTCAAGAAAACGTTTTTCTTTTGTTTGATTCACTCATGAAGAAGGCTAAGAATAAAATCTGTTGATTATTAATGATTAGAAAAAAAATTCTGAGAAAAAATTAAGAATAAAAATTACCTGGAAATAGCTTATTTGCACTATTTTCACTATTTTCAATGCAAGTATTAAATAAGCCGACTTGATGATATGTGGCGCTGCAAAATTTTTACATCTTGGTTAAGTCTTGGTATTAGCTTGTTAATTATGCAAATAAATGAACTTTATTTATTAAATGTTTAAAATTAACCTTTTCTACTTGTATTTTAATGATTAATTAGGAAACTAATTAGTGTTTAATTCTCAACTTGCTTTGAAAAATGTCATGTGACCTGTGATGGAAAAGCTGTTTCTTTAGGGAAATGGCGCTTAAAATTTGTGATTCACTAGGCTAAATGACTGCGTATTCAATTAATTTTACTTAATTTTGTGTGTCACTTAGAAGAGCAGCCGATACAATAGCAATTTAAATTGTTGTCCTATTCAAATTCAACTGTGATTTGGCAAAGGTAAGTTTCAAATCATGTGTTTACTATCGTCTGACTAACAAATCCTAAGCCTTAGCTAACGCTTGGTTCATGAAATAATTTTTGAAATTTTCTTATTTTTCAGATAATTTCTGCTAAATTATTATAGCTGTTCATTTGTAATGCACTAAAGTAACTTCCATTAAATAGACAATTCCCGGAACGCATTTGGAGTTTCAACGAGATGATCAATTTTTATATCATTTGAGCCGGATTTTAATGTAATACAGTCAACTTAACGCCTTGGAATAATTGCTTTCTACAAACACTTAGGAATGGATTTAATGGTTTGATAAAATTGATCGGGATGGAAAAATAACTAATCTAAAGATCATTTGTTTTCATCAATTGTTTATTTAATGTGAATTTCAGTTAATCAAGTTGTGAACTGCACAGAAATTTTTTTCTTCTGAAGTTTGATTTTTGGTGAATAGAAAGTCAAAGTATAGTGTCTATAATATTTGGATCGATTGAAGAAGGTGACAAAAGTGATCGTCAAGTATGATAATCAGTAAAAAAGCTTGGATTAAAGCAATATCACAGCTGAACAAGTACACACTCAATTGAGTGGTGTAGTGCAAGAATTCATTTGCTAATTTTCATGGCATATTCAGTGGATTGTCTCCTATCAAGAAGATAATACTTGATATTGTGTTGAATATATATATAAAATGTGTGAAGAGAGTGAACATTAAACTTTAATCATTGTCATATTATCTTGATACTAATATCTAATTAGATTGGATATTTTCATCAAGATGAGGACTGATGAGATGTAAATGTAATTTAGAGTTGTCACATTCAGTTGATAGTCATTGAGAGTTGCAATAAGACTCCTTAGTGAAGAGATGCAAAGAAACTGATGAGGAAGAATGGGAACAATTGAAAATATTTCTCTCTCATCTTTATCCACAATCAGCAATTGAGTAACTAAGATGATGATGTGAATGGAGATGAGGAAGATAGAGGGTGAGAGAGAGAGGTAAAGTGAGAGAAAGTGAAAGATACTTTTGGTACAAAGAATTTTATCGATTTGTTTGAAAATCATTTCAAGAGAGTTTTCCGTGAGTGAGTCAATAAATGAGTAGCAAAAGGAAGAGGTGAAGTAGGATGGCGAAAAAGGAGAAGGCATTAAGGGAAAGATGTGATGAGGATAAGGGAAAAAGTAGAGGAGGAGAGAGAAAGAAGATGGATGAAGAATATTCGATCGATTTTATGTGTTACCAATTTTTAAAAAGAGCACAAAAAATAACGAGCAAAGTGGAGGAGTAAAGAGTATCGAGCGAGTTTTACTCTGATATTCAGTGAGTGCTATTCCAATGTGCTTTATATCAATAGTCTACTGATATTGTGTTAGTATAAGTGCGCCAAAAAAACAATGATTTATTCAAATAAATATGTAACAGCAGCACAAAATATCTAAGTCTTGGTTAGTGTACAAGAGGATGAAGATGGTGAGATAAAGTTTAAGAGCGACCAAAAAAGGAAGACAAGTGAAGACAAGGAATTATGATGAGTAAAAGAGGATCAAAAACAAAGGCATTTAACTAAAGAAATTAGACGATTCTTGCTAAGGATGAAAAAACAACTAAAGTAACCATATCTTCAACAACCCATTCCGCATCGCCAAATTGAGTTATTTCATATATACATAATAACAATAATAATAATAAATTGTAATTCCATACACTACTATCCGCATATATTTAATCAAAATCATAATAAAAATAGTAATAATAGTATTAAGAATAGTCATAATAAATAGTATAATGTAATGTAATAATAATAACCATGCTTACAATAGCATCATCCGAGGTAAAAAAAGGCGAACTTATTTTTCAACAAAATTCAACATTTCCTATGTATTTTGATTCATTAAAAATTTTCATAAAGCTCAAAAATGATATATATTTTTTGCTTGTAAACATATAATTTTATGTAAGATATTGTGAATATTGTGTCAGATCAAAAAAGCATTCAAAAACAACCAATCAACCAATAGTAGTTTTAACAAATTGATTAGAGAAGTAAGTGTAACAAATTAAAATAACAAATTAAAGCATCTGATGTTGAATTAAATCAAGAAAAAAAATGAAATGAAACAGAAGGCAAAAGAAACGAAACTAAATTGAAATAAATAAAAATTTATCTGATTGGTAATGGAGACTTACCGTTGGGTATAACTGAGGCAGCGGCAACTGCAGCGGCAACCGCTGCGGCAATTGATGTAGGTTTTTTAGTTTGTACTCGAGCAGTAGCATTATTTACCTAAGAACGAGAAGAAAGGAAAATTGTTAATCAAGTGAAATTATGTGTTAATCAATGCATGGATGGATTTGTTAAATAAAATTGACAATTATCGAAGGAAAACAATAAAGAAAAGTCTATAAAGATGAATGTTATCGAAGACGAGAAGAGGGATGAAGATGGATGATGAAATTTGAGTTTGCATGCAATTTTATGCGAAATGGAAGAGCAAAACCAAGACGATTCACTCTCGTACTAAGCTAAAATTACTCCCCATCACTTCCTAAGTCTCTCTTTATTCTTCTTCTGGTATAACTTTACTATCTCTTTCACTTTCTCTGTTTTCTTCCTCTCATGTTGAAGCTATTTCAGGCAACACACATTTTCGTCATTTTTGTTTTCCTCCAATTCTTGAGTTGGAAAATGATGTTGATGACTCACTTCTATTTTTCTACCTTCCACTATTGTACCATTTAACTGTTCTCTGGCCTTTCCAGCATCAGCCGCATGGGCAAAGGTTACAAAACCAAAACCTTTCGATCCTCTTTCATTAAAAATAATCTCGACATCAAGAATAGGACCAAATTGCTGTGTAAAAAAGAGAAAGAGAAAAACGTTAATAAAAGGAAAATTTTCATGGTCATAAGCTCAACTTGATGAGATTGACTTACTCCAAATAATTGTCTTAAATCTGGATCCCTAAATCTAAATGGAATATTGCTGACATGTAAACGTTTGGGTTGATTTGATGCTGATGAGGTAAGAGCTGCGTTTGTCGAAGCATTTAAACTAGTTGAATTTAAAATTGTAGAAGGTATTTCTGGAGTTGATTGGTCTTCCATAGATGTACCAACATCTAGAGAGAGACAATTTTTTGGTGTAGATTGAGATGATTTAAATGCTGGAGATGACTGTTGTTGTTGCTGGGGTAGCTGTTGTGGTAGTTGTTGTGGTAATTGTTGAGATAGCTGCTGTGATAGCTGCTGTGATAATTGTTGTGATAATTGTAATTGTGTAGATTGTTGTGGCTGTTGATGATTTTGTTGCTGCTGTAATAACTGCTGTTGAATTTGTTGTTGTAGCGACTGTTGTTGTTGCTGTAGCTGAGACGGTTGTGTCGGTTGTTGTTGTTGCTGAAGCTGTGTCGGTTGAGTCGATTGTGGTTGTTGTTGAAGATGAAGGTGTTGTTGCTGTGGTTGTGGCTGTTCATGATGATCAGCCATAATATTTGTTGACAAAAAACACTAATTTTTTGAAAGCACGATGGACGAGATGAGATGTTCAACGAGAGAATGATAGACTTACAACCAAATTTTAAGACTAACAACCATCAGTCCTTATTTTACTCTTTATCCATGCCTTTACGCATGTAACAAACCATTATTTAGGGTTCCTCATTTGAAAAGGCGCCATCTTTGACCGTACATTATGAAATAACTTTTTTAAAATAACAAAGGAACCACAGTTAAGGTAAACTGACAACTTTAATAAAAATCATAATTAATTAAATTACGAGCTCTATGACTATACAACAGGTTTTAAATTATACAAAGACATATTGATATTTTAAAGAGCACCACATTCCCTTAAGATTTGCTCTTTCTCTTTGAAAAAATCAACATACCATTTAACAATTGCATGTTTTCTTTCTACAGTTATAAATGCATTATTAGTCACACCAATCATCATTATATCAATAAACTCTCGAACTGGACCAGATTCTGGTATTCCTTCAAGAAGATGATCAAGAAATATATGATCATAAAAGGGAACTTTTGCTTCTTCCTCCAATCCAGCTTCATTATCAATCGGATAACTCCATAATTTACCTTCTTTGGTCATTTGAATCAATTCATCAAAAGCATTCTTTGGTGGTTTTCGAAATTCCAAGTCCATTTCTTCATCACGTAATCTTTTCCATGTTTCTAATGTAAAGTAATCTCCATTTGGTGATTTATTATCAAAAAGATTTAAAGGCTTTGCAGCATTATAATTCACATAATCATGTTGTCGATGAGGTCTTTCTTGATAATTCCGTCCATCTTTTCTATCAAAATTTGTAGTTCTATTCCTAAAATCTAATTGTGGTGGCCTATCTCTCCAACTACGCGATCTGTTTCCTTCTTTATCAACAAATCTATTTTCTTGTCGGTCAGCAAATCTATTCTCTTGTTTATCAGCAAATCTTGGTTGTTCTTTATTTGTTGTCATTCCCTTTGACATCTTTTTAGATACTTCAACCGGTAAATCCCTTATTTTTGGAGAAAAAAACAGAAATATAAAATTAGTTAAATTAGAGATAGATTGACAATTTATATTAATTCTTACTTTAAAATGTTTGCAATATTAGCCATTGCATTTGAATCAGGAGCTTTACTTTCTTCAAATTGTAAACTGACCATTTTCATTAATCCTTCTTTAGTTTTTTTACCTTCTTCACCATCAATTTTATTACCAATTTTTTTAGCTACCTTCTCAAGTTTTGCTTTAATAACCTTTGGATTCTTGTCATCATCATCTTGACTTGAACCAGTTGATAAATATCTAGGAACAATTAATTCATTTGATGTAAGCCTTTTGCCAACACAATATCTATCAAAATAATAAACAAAATAAGACAAATAATATTAGACATGTGTTTGTTCAAATTCATATTTTGATCTAGAAATTAATCTTACCTTGAAACCTCTCTTTGGAATCTGGTCAAACGCAACAAATTACCACAGATAATAGACATAATGGTGGTTCAATCATAAGAAAATATAACAAAAAGCAAAAAAATACGCTAATATTTACAAAAATTGAGAAAAACTAATTTAAACACAAACATTGTTGAAAAAATGATGCTTGAGGGAATGTTAAAGCATTGCGAAGTGTATACCGATGATTTACTTTCCAAAGAAACAAATTAATTTAGTAGTAAACTATTAACCAATGTGGACATAACTCATTAAAATCCAAGTAATAATTTCTTAATTTGTCAATTCAATCAGTTCAGAGTCTTAATATACAAATGTCTAATGTATTAGGTAAATTTTTCAAAGAATTAAAACCTGCTGAATTAGTTTCTCAAAAAATTTTGCTGCATTTGATTTTGACTCTTTTATTACCAGCAATTTTTCAATATCAACTTAAATTCAACTGGATTCGATTGTCGAGAAAATAATTTAAAGCAGTTATATTTAGTAGCAATTCTTCAATTATGACTGTATTGGAAAAGGGTTACAGCGTTAATTTTCATGATTGTTTCATTCTCTAAATATTCCATCGATCATCTTACAAATTCATTGGCTTTTAGTCAAATATTGTTGAACATATCAGAGATTTGTTTCATCTCCAAAATACCTGTAAAACAGTTACACTTTATTGTCAAACAGTTAAAAATAGTGAATAGCAATATCAGCAACAATTACGAAGCTAAAGATTGAAAAGATAAATGCTAACTTGGATAATGTGAGAAAACATTTACGATTACTATTGTATAACGATAAATATCAATATAAAAAATTGCAACTTAACCATTCTAATTCTGGTTAAATATTACGATATTAGTTTCCTATTAACTAGGAAGTAAAAAAAACTCATCTTATTCAATACAATCCTTTGCCTACCTTTTAAGGCCTTACAAAGAGCAACACATAAAAGGTTAAGGTTAAGGGTAAAAGATTATCAACAAAAAAAATGTAACCTTCGCATTGACAACAAAAGATTAAAGGTAAACTAGACCTTAAATGTACAGGTAACAACCTTAAACACTTTAACCTCCTCCTTTCCCTTTTATTTATCCTCCTAACCTCCTCCTTTTCTCGTCCCTTCATCATCATCATCTTCTCCGTCTTCTCCTTCATATCAGAAATTTTCTCACAACTTCGTGAAATGGTAAAAAAACCACCCTTTGATCACTTTTTTTCATTCATCTTATTTCCAAACATCTTATATATTTTTTTTGCATCTTCCTCATCATATCTTTAGACCGAATTACCTGAAAAAATAAACTTTCCTACGGAACCAAAGAAAGTTGGCTTTGGTTATCTTTTTTTGTGGCTCTTTTTTGATACTAAAACTGAACCCAAATAGTGACATATGGACAGTAAAATGAAAGTGTCTCAAGACGAAGCTTGTTCGTTCCCTAAACAACTATGAATTCATCTTTACGTATCTATCGCGAAGATGATGTCGCTTATGATGTGGATGCATAAAAAAACACTTTCTCAGGCTTATGATGTTGATACATCATTGGTCTATTTTTTTATATCAATATACTTATATTAGATTATATAATGTTTAGATATACCAAATTGTTGATCATCTTTGATTCCATTCATGAAGGTCCATTTTTTGCCTGTTGTAACCACATTGTTTCCGTTCTATGTCTAACTGGTTAAAGGGTTCAATAATGTTTGATGCAATCGGAAAATTGAGCTAATCTGAGGTACACTTCAATTCAATATCAATGTTTAAGAAACAGTCAAGAAATTTTATTGTTAATTTACTAAACTTCAAATTGTCTTTCATTTAAAATGTTTTCAGGTTTTCTGGTGACTCTGTACTATTGTTGTCCCATTTTGGCCAATAAGCAGCATCGGCTGGGAATTCATGGGATAAACTGTCGTCCGTTGATTTAAATACTGGCTCATGAACAGCTGAATAGTTAAACAAGGAAAACATTGATTAGAAATGATTCTTTGATCACTAATATCAACAATCACAATACTCACGATCTTCACCAAGTATCGGCCAATTAGCTGATCCTTGATCTAATTGGAAAAAGGGAAAAACAAAAAGATTGATGGTCCACTTTGATTACTATTGAAGCTGATTATGGAAAGCAATTTTTCTGGTAAACAATTAGAGTCTCAATAAAGTCATGATTGAGTCGATTTAATCAACAGGTAGATTGATTGATAATGGTGTTAAGTGTTTACATTTATATTTGTTTTTGTTTTAATAATTGTGAAAATCTTCCAATCTTCAATGAAGGCTGATCAATATTTTTGAGTCGCACTTTTAGTTTAACTTAAGATTACAAATAATTGGTTTTGTGAAACAATTGGTCATCGGAAAGGGTCAATTTAATGTATCAACTTACCTTTACCAACTGGGATGGCAATTAACATTGTAAACTGGATAAAGTAAATAATCATCAAGATGATTGCAATAGTCTTCATTTTGTTGTTGCTTTGTATTGATGGCACTTTTAAAGGTAAAATAACACTGAAGTATCTGGTGTTTACCAGAAATGACTAAAAATTTGGGTTCTTCAAGACAAACTGTGAATGAAATTTACCGGCAAATAAATTATTATTTATGGTTGATTCAGTTTATATGTGATGCCAGGAATGGTGATAATGATGAAGGGTGGGAAACAATGGAGAGAGATATGAAGAGGGCAGGGAAATGAAACAATTCATGGAGATGTTTCATTTTGCTGTGAGAAACAGATTGTTGTCTAATAAATTAACAGGTTATACCTTTTTGTACGTGTTTCCCTGTGGATAGAAATATTTACCAACAAATGTTTACATGTTGGTTGTTGACTATTTGAATAACAATCAGTCACCTTGATGTGAAGGCCTGAATAAAATATCAATTTTACCAGAAAACTTGATTGACTCTAGCTAAGGCCAAGCTAAGACTAGATGTCATTGATTCTGGTTATGTTTCTTCGAAGAAGTGTCTTTTGATTGTTAATCTTCTTTTTTTACTCTATTCCAAGTAATTTATTAATTTTAACTGATTAGTCAAACAATTCAAATAATTATTCATGTTAGTTGTGAATGCCACATGTATTTAAATGATTTTGTCTCAACACAAATGGTTCAATCACAACTGTGTTAGCAAGGTTAGCAAGCAGCTCTTGATATAAAATAACAGATTTTACCAGCAAATATGAAAGTTGACATTGAATGATATCACGATAAATGGCCAGAGTATTAAGGAAACTCAGGTTACTGAGAAAATCATGAAATGATGCGAAATTTCTGTTCCAATGATAATCGATGGCAAAATCAATGGAATGGCAATTTTTTTCAATTCTTTTGCTCTTACTAATGATTGTATCTTGTTAATATTAATTGCCTATTAAATTAAACTATTTATAATTTTCACGTTCGACAAAATAACCAATAATTCATGATCAGACGCTTATCCTTTATCAACTGAATACAGACTCAAAATATTAACATTTGAATAATGATCAAACTCATTAGTTATTAGAACAAATTTACTTTAACGAATTCAATATCATTTTAATGTTAGGATCATATTTTGATTCAGCAACTTTTATTACTCGTAGTGATTAAACAAAATAAAAGTAGAATAATTTCTGCCATAATTTCCCTCGATATTGAATTCAGAGTTACAGGGAATGATTTTCTTCTGGTTATAATTGGTTCAATTTTTGAAAGACACTTGGATGAACATCAATAAACTGACAAATATTTTGTTTTATTTAAGCCTCCAGAAGTGTTGGCTTAAATGTTGTTTTTTTTTTGAATTTGAATATTTGTATTTCTGAAAAAACCGCTATTTACTTACATTTGAATCCTTCAATGTCTTCATAATTGAAAGTCGAATCATGTATTGCCATTTCGTTAGGCTTCAAATTTGCAGTTTCACAAAATTTAACCCAGTGATCAATTCGTTCTTTTCCAGGAGGAATCTCATAAACAGGGAACGGAACCGATAATTTCCTACGAATTTTTGAAGATTTAGACTTGGGCTTAGCCAAACCAAGCAAATGTTGGGAATCAGCTAATTGAGAGGTTGAGGCTCGTCGAGTAAGCTCAGATTTAATAGACTTATCTGACTGAGAGTTTGTAGCATCCCAGTCGAATGATACACTGACGCCATAAAATGAGCGCACAGAGAAATTGTCAGATTTGGCGCAAATTTTGCGCTAACGCCGATTAAATTCAAGCAAAAAGATTCCTCATTCCAAACTCGATCCCTTCCTCTCATCTCTCTAATCCATCTCCTTTACCACTGAGCTAAGAAAGTTAATAAATGAAATGTTATAATTAATAGAGTCAATCGTAAAAACAGACAATAATACTTTTGTTTAAATGTGTTATGCGCAATCAAACGCAAAAAAACAAATGACTCTGGCGTTTTTTTTCAAAAAATATCTTAATGAGCGTGAAACGCGGCTCAGTGTAGCAATTTTCATTCGACTGGGATATATGGGTTTCTCATTATCCATAGGAACCTCAAGCTTTCGAAAAAATTCATACCATGGTTCTTGATATGTTATCTGTTCTTGAAGGGGCAAAATGGAGTTCCAGGAAAACATTAATAAATAACATTTTCCGTCTTGAAAACAAATACAGCAACAATAAGCATGAATAATAAGAATCTGTTTCTAATTTGAAATTACTTTACCAGGCTTCAGCCTTTTAGTGGTGTTTTCCATGGCTTTGGCAGTATTCGTAACCCAATGAAGGCAAAAAGTAGATGTAACTACGTCAACCGATTCCGATGTCCAAGTTTACTGACAGTTCTTCCTAATCGGCACAAATGTTTCCACAATTGAAGTTGAGGTTTGAGGGTGAATAATTTTCACGAGCAAATCATCTTTTCACTGCAATCGAAACCAATGATTCGTGAATCGGGAAAACTGGAGTAAATCATTTGCGTTATATTTCCAGGTCCACATCCAATGTCCACAATTACCTTTGGAGAACTGTAGAAACAATTAACAAACACAATGAAAGAAAATAGCTAATCACAATTAAAGTTCCCTTGCACATTTTGAAAATCTTTTTCAAGTCTCTTCAAGAGATATTCAGAATCTTTCTTCTGTAATCCATTGGATTTATCATAAAGCTGTGGATCGTTATTCATCTCTGACCTAAGATTCTTGTTATTAATTATTTTTGAGTATGAAAGTTTAATATGCATTCAAATGGACGAATAAGTCTCTGTCAATAAACATATAAAAAGCAAATATTAAATATAAAATCAGCTTACTTTCTCTTCCATTCATTTAACAGTTAATTACAAAATTACAGATTGCATTGTTTAATGTGTCAAAATTGACTACAATAAATTGATGAAAATCATTATAAAATCAACTAAACCATCAAGTCTTTTTGCCAAATCCATTTTACGTGAAAACATATCGAGTCAAGTAGTGCTTCACATCGATTAGCTTTCTAATTTATGCTACAGTCAAACTATACAAAATTCATTTACCCACAAAAACACTCATCTTGGAATCGATATTGGCCCTCTAACATATACTTAGTTGTACAATAATCGGTTATTCCTCGATTGCTACAAGTCTTGTCGCAACTTTATTGCTCTACAGATACAACAGTCCAATTTATGTTAAGTATATCAACTACTTCCAATCCAGCATCAAGACTCCTTTTGGCCTGGCACAGACTTCATATGTGAACAAATGGCAGAGGATCAATCGATTTATAATTATATTACAGTCTCTAACGAGAGTGGCCACATTAACCTTGGAATATTATTTTAACCCTTTAAGTTTGACATATAACTATGTTGAAATCGTATTTGCGTTCATTCGTGAATTGGGTTTAATTTTGGAACAGCAATTTATTTATGAAACGTGTATCTATTTACAATCAAATTTCGTGTTATTTCACTCATTTTTTGATTCTCTATTGAAGATGGTTAACGAGTCTGTTGGAGTAGATGTTTATCATGCTATTAAATCAATCCGTCACATGCATAGTCAAACAATTGAGTTTACTAGAAAAATTGATTTCTTTTTCAGATTGAATGTTTTGAACACTTTCGGATTCTTGACAATCTACTCTATTTGTGGCATTGGTTTAATGTTAGCGCCCAATCAAACCATGATACGAATACTAGCTTTAATTGGTAGAGCAGTTTTTACCCTGAGTATACTGTGTGTAAGTGTTTACCATTTTGCTCGAGTAAACTATTTGTCAGTCCAAGTATTCAACAAAGTTCATGATCTTTCACTATCCCCAAACTTGGTACGATCAATTGAAACCATGAATGAGGTAAACCCTTTGCCTTTTTCATTACTTGAAACCTTTTCAACATTTTTATTTCCAATTTCTAGATAAATTTGTTTCTATTACGAATCCGTCGAGACGATGTTGGATTTACACTTGCTGGTCTATGCGTGGTTTCAGTCAATTTTATATCATCTTTGGCCATCATTGCACTAACTATTGGCTTAGCTTTACCAGGCATTTAGCAAGGTTTTGTCTAAAGTTAGATTGGGTTGATTGAAAAGTCAAATGAACTATGAATTAATGAATGAATTGTTTCAACTCAAGGTGTTACAGAAGTTATATTTCTATCAATAAATTTTGAGTAAATTGTAATAATATGTATTTTTAAATATAATTTCCTCATGAAATAGACAGAAGTTTAAAACACAACTTTACTCAAGGAAGAAGGCGATGTTTTTACCTTGTATCAATAATAACTTGTCTTTAGCTTTGATGAGTCAAAGTGTTGACTTGAGGCTTACTCAGTCAGCTGTTTTTGACTTTAGCTTGTAACTTTTTGTTTACGGGAAACGTAATTATGGTGAGTTATCTCTTTTAATTATTAGAAATCAAGTCAATTTTTCTCAATTTTTAATGTCTTACTTACTTAATATTTACTTAATTCCTTTAATTTCAGGCTCGTTACTTTAAAGAACAAGATATTGACGAATTTCGTGACTGCTTCTACCTTAACACTCATAACAATGGAATGATTGTCAACATTGATGAGCTTGCTTTGATCATGAGATCTCTTGGAATGAGTCCAACTATTCCTGAGATGCGAGTTTATTTGAAAGAAAAGGGTAAGTCTTTTTAATTTTGTCGTTCAATCACTAAATATGTGATAATACCATTTAGGTTGAGAAAATTTGGAAAAATTGTTTTCTAGATTCTGCTTATGCATTATCAAATTCAACTTTCATCAGTTCCTGAAGACTTTTTGTATGAGTTGTCTGCTCTATGTAATATGAAAATTCAGGCCTTTACCTAATCATTATTAAATAACTATTTTTGTCTGGTTTTCTGTTTCTCAGGGGGTAAATTGTCTTTTGCTGATTTTCTTGATGTAATGCATACTCATTCAAAAAAGGAAAAAGTGCCGGAAGAAATATTGGAAGCATTTCAAGGATGGGATCTCAATAGAACAGGTCAGATTCATGTTCGTGATTTGAAACACATCCTCTGTCAATGGGGTGAAAAACTCGGAACCCGTGAGGTCGACCACATTCTTAGAGAAGCCAATACAATGGGACCTTATGTTAAATATCAAGATTTGGTTGGTGTACTCTCAGCCCCTGTCCCTGATTATTGATACAAACCATTTATACTTTGTGAAAATTACAATTTGGAAAAGTTGAATTGATAAATTAACAAGTGAACTGCTGATAACAAAAATAGCTTTTAAAATATTAATACATAATTTGAATGCTTTAAAACCTAAAGACATGTATTTAAGATATGTTTAGGTTGGCTAGTTTAGACAATATTTATTTAACGCAATCACATTAATGACTACAAACTTCTTTGGCATATATTATTCGTATTATATTATAAAATAATATCCATTTATATTTATTTGTACTTTGTTCATATAATCTATATTTTCTATTATTAATATCATTCGAAGATTAATATTGAATTCGGCTAATGGGCAATATCTAGCATTCAAAGATGCACAATTTCATTTCAAGACTTCTTTTTATGTGACCATTTCCGGAAACCATCTATGTTTTGAACTATTAAGTTTCACTTTTAAATGAAAATTTGTTCAGAGTACGTCAATATTAGATTGTGAATTTTCAAACTTTTAGCTGGGTTATAAACGTGAAGGCACATTCAAAAATGATTAAGGAATAACTAACGGTGAAACCACCATTGTGGCAATTTTTTGAGCAAAAAAATTGACATACAATGTTATTTTTGAGGTTCAATTATTTTAATAAGGAATCTATGACTATACAACAGATTTTAAATTATACAAAGATATATTGATATTTTAAAGAGCACCACATTCCCTTAAAATTTGCTCTTTCTCTTTGAAAAAATCCACATACCATTTAACAATTGCATGTTTTCTTTCTACAGTTATAAATGCATTATTAGTCACACCAATCATCATTATATCAATAAACTCTCGAACTGGACCAGATTCTGGGATTCCTTCAAGAAGATGATCAAGAAATATATGATCATAAAAAGGTACTTTTGCTTCTTCCTCCAATCCAGCTTCATTATCAATTGGATAACTCCATAATTTACCTTCTTTGGTCATTTGAATCATTTCATCAAAAGCATTCTTTGGCGGTTTTCGAAATTCTAAGTCCATTTCTTCATCACGTAATCTTTTCCATGTTTCTAATGTAAAATAATCTCCATTTGGTGATTTATTATCAAAAAGATTTAAAGGCTTTGCAGCATTATAATTCACATAATCATGTGTCGATG